ACGCCCCCCCCCCGCGCGCCAGCGCTCTGGTTAAGGCGTGGGCCGCAGGGAGGGAGGGGGTGGGGGTGAGGGTGTGAGGGAGGCGAGGGAGCCACGCATCTTAAAGTTGATAAGGTTGAAAAACCCTGGTCTAGGCAGTCATGAATAATGGGGTCTCACTGACGGGCACCTAGTTCCTCAAACCCCTTGACTTTCTCTTAGGGAAACAATATCATACCCAAAAGATGGGAGTATATTCCAGTCAAGATTCAACACTCCTAAGGAATTGTACATTTTGTGGCAACTTATATAGAACAGAGAACTTTGGGCAGATAATACAAATATTCCTGGTTCTCAAACTTAGTATTGCAGCAATAAAAAACAAAAAAAATGGATTCCTTGTAATCTCATGAAAAATAGGTACCATTTCCAATGTTCCAACATGCCTTTAAAACAGAAAATGATGTAAATAGAAGGGCATATCTATTACTCAACCAGTGTTGTAACATGAATAAAAAGTTACCTAATCTTACGGAAATTCTTTTGTAAAACTACCTGTCAGCTTCCTGATTACACCAAGCTAGTCCAAGATGGAAAACTTCAGTCCCTTAAGAGCCTGTCAGATGTCACAACTCTATTTATTCCATCAGTAATTGGCTAAGCCTTCAAGCAGAACAGAATAATGAGTAGTATCGTTCTTAGCTACTCACTGTGGATGAGATGAGCAAAGAGAACTTTCCTTGGTTCTTCCTCTCAAGTAGCACCTATCAAAATCTACTCTGGGACACATTCTTCAAAGAAGAAGAAGAAGTCCAAGGTAGAAGTTCTCCCCTGTTATCTGGTTATTCGGAAAGACATCCACCTGGTGGTTCAAAACGTTCTACCATCATTGGTGCCATGACTGATGCTGAAAAGAAAGATGACACCCTTTTCTAGGAACAGTGAGACATTTTAGAGGAAGCTATTACAGTTGTCCTTATAAAATGGCTTGTAATTTCAGGAGCACCTGAACATCTACAGTACTATTGTCCACTTCCAAGGCTTTTAATGTGTCTGCTGTGAATGTGGGATAGGCTTGTACAACTTGAAATAAGCCCACGAATCAACTGGCACTCAGAACAGCTCTTTCAAAATAGCAATAGCAATAGGTCACAATATTGTGGAGCAGTTCACGGTCTAATTGCTGCATTTTATACCAATGGAAACATCCACATTCTCTTCAGAGGCAGACCCTCTGTTGCAAGATAAATCAGGTATGGGGTATTCTCAGCTTCCAAAACTCGGGAACAGTTCCGCTAGCTCTGTAAATATAACCATGCAAACATGTTCCTTGTTGCCATCTGAAAATTGAAGGACAAGGCCAAATCAAGAAGTGTTTCTGGGTTGCAATCTTTATTGTCTAATGCTGTTCCACCAGAAAAGCAAATCCTAACAGAGAAGAATGAATCCCAACTCCAATCTGACCTTCCAGTACCATAAAACCATATTAAACATAATAATCAGAAATACAGCATTTGATGTCACAGAACAAATCAACCCATGCTCAAATTATCATATTTTGGACACGCTATGTGAAGACCTAGTTCTTTTGAG